TCACTTAGGTCCACATACAGGTCTGCTAACTGAGCCTGCATGACCGCATTGTCTCTAACCACTTCTGGGAAGGCCAATGATGACAGCTTCCCTGCTCGGGCCCCCAATTCTCCAGGGGTTTCGTTCCGCAGCTGTGTCAGCTTTAGGAGGGCCCTCATGGCCTCTATAGCCGTGCCCTCGTCGGCGAATTCCTTGGTCAATAGTCCCTTTAATCTTTCCCAAGACAAGTGGGGTTCACTCTCCAAGATCCCTTCATAAATTCAGACGCTTTTCCCTTCGTGGCATCATATGCAGATACAGGGTCTCCTGGTCTGTGAGTTCATATATAACTCGGCTCTTCTCCAGGATTGCTAGCCAGTTTTTGAAATCTTTCCCACTGCCGTCAAATGCTGGGACCCTCGGTCCACCCAACAACCTTCTTAGGTTAGCTGACAACCCCTGTCTAACCCCCTCTTCATCACCCACTGCTCTATCTGAATCATAGTCCGACATATTTAAAGAGAAAGACAATCTACGCAGCAACAATCGAGGTTGGGAAATCAAACAAAGTGTCCTACCTTACAGACGATTCTGCTCTCGGTCCTCTCAGGTCCCGGGTCGTTTTGAGTCCTATTCGAAATTTCTCAGCAACAGCGGTCGATCCAGGATCCTGTCCTGCTGTCACGGTACTAATTGTGGCAGTGGCTGTTCCAGGATCCTATCCTATGGTCACGGCACCAGTTGTGACGTCGTCCCCTGATCGCAGCGCCAACTGTGACGTTCTATTCTGGTCTACCACGGCACTAACTGTGACGTCCCTAAACAGCACCAATTGTGACGTCCTCGCCGCGGCGCCAGCTGTTCGCTGCTCCGTTCGGGTGTCGCTGCTCCAAACGTGACGTCCGCCTGTCGCGTCAGTCGTGTTGTCTCGTCCTGTGACGACCAACTGGCTTGGTATCGGTCGCGGCACCCAAATGTGACGTTCTAACCTTTTGGTGATTCGGGTGGGAATCTGGTTAGATTTGATATCAGCCTCGTCGTTCCCAACTCGCTTCCAACGCCTGGTTACCAAGGTAACTGCGTTGATCTCCAGTCTGCCTACCCACGTTGTGAATTGATCTTAGGCAGACGAGATCAATCAGTGGTTGGGGCCGTAATGCAAACCGAGTTCAACGGGGGTGATACCACACAATACGCATAAAAGAAAATAAAATGAAAACTCAAAAAGTTCAAAGTATCAAAGAAAAAGGTAACAAACTTTATGTCTAGTTGTTCGATACATAGGACTGCATCTATCTCCCGACCCGTTCTATGGATTGTGACACGTCGTTTTCCGTTAGGCGAGTTTTAACGCTTCAAGTTGTTTGCTCTCTAAGAAATTGGTGTTTCGGTGTGTCTTTGGACGAAAGTCGAAAAAAAACTTATTGTGGTGGTCTGGATCTAAGTCGCTCTTCAAAATAATTGTTCTTGGGTTGAAGAGGAGTCCGGAATTTGCGTGAATCTTGGTCAACTATCTGCGAGGCGGCTTCAACTGGAGACTCAACTCAAACTTTTCTGGAACTGAACTCACTGGAACTGATTTCTGCTCGTTGGGTCTTCGCTTATATGGACACCGACCAAAACCGGGGTGGGTCTGTCGGCGTCGGGGGTTCCTCGATAATTCTAAATACATATCCACATCTTTTATTTTTGGTTAGGGATTTTCCACTCCTTTTCATTTTTGGGAACCTTTCCTCACTCCCACCTTCTCACCATACTTCAGAGGGCTTGAACTGCCCTCCCCACTTCTTCGTAGCAGCTTCTCATACCTATACTCTGGATGAGGCGGCGACAGCCTCCTTCGTGCGTCACGTGATCACTACTCGACCAATGATGTCTTAGTCGGGCGTGGACGAATCCACGGCTTTGTTTCAGGGAAAAAAAATATCTTGCTTAAAAAAAAAAAATTATCCCTTCTTTTCCTTTTCTTCCTCTTAATCGCCGTTATCATTTTCCCTAGCCGCAACGGCAGTGGTCATAGCTCTTGTTCTACACCTGGTCTTCGTCAATTAATTTATTGCCAATTATCAGAATGGGTGGTCTTCTTAACACGGCCAACGTCGCCCCGAAAAGACATTTCTAAATTCCCATTCATTTCCCTTCGGTACATATTTCTGATAACACAATTTTATTATCGCAGGCCAAGGATGTTCCGTCGAAGGAAATCGGTCAGTGGACACTCGTGGGTGGCTTTTAATTTTTCATATCTGTCCAAAGTCCTTTTAGTTGCCTGTTTTTCGTCACTTATCGAAATAACATTTTCATTTGAATTTTTCTTTGGCCAGTCGGTCTGTAGTTGATAAGATGCCTTCCCATACCAATAGTTTGTTTTCATATCCTTAGATAACACAGCCGTCGCCAAAACATATCTGATTCTTTCTTTCTTTCCCTTTCTTTTTACTCAGAATTTCCCTGTCATTGTAATGACACCCTTTCGCCATTTGTTACTTATCAAAATATCCCTTATCCATTGTCTCTTAGCCGTGTGTGTGTTCTGCTTATCATCTACGATTCGGTCCTTAGCCTCTCCTTTCCTTCTTTTCTTTCTTTTCTTTTTCTGCCTCGTTAAATGGTGCCACATGCAAGTGAACATTCAATATCGGGAATATTATCACAAGAAGGACATGCGATAATGTATTTGTCAAGAAGATTAACAAACACTGAATTTAATTACTCGAACATAGAGAAAGAAGCATTGGCTATTGTGTGGACAACTACCAGAGCCCGACAATTTTTAATTGGGAAAAAATTTCTGTTAAGAAGTGATCATAGACCATTAGAGTTTATATTTAACCCAAGGAAAGAATTACCCAAAGTCATGACATCAAGGATTCTACGATGTGCGATAAGATTGATGGCATTTGACTTTGATATAGAGTATGTCAAAGGAAATTCAATTCCACATGTGGACGCACTATCAAGATTGAGGTTCTACAAGGAGTCAAAAGACAAAACAGAGGAAGAATTTGAAAATTCATTCCTACACTTGATAGAGACTGATGTTTTGTCTTTAGACAGAATGGCTGCGGAAACGAGACATGATCCAGTGCTAAGTAGGATAGTATCAAGAATAAGGAAAAACTTGTGGGGAAATTGTTCTAGGGCAGAAAGACCCTATAAAGAAATAAGACACAAATTAACAATAGAACATGGAGTGATTTGCAATGGGGACCTGGTAGTTCCCCCAGAAACACAAAGAAAACCAATAATAGAAAGTGTACATAATGATATACACCATGGAGTAGCGGCCACACAAAAAAAAATAAAATTTGAAGCTTGGTGGCCAGGATATTCAAGAGACGTTGAGGAATATGTAAAAAGGTGTAAAAATGTAAAGAATTAAGAAACTTTACACAAACCAAATGACATTCGTGGCCCAAAGAAGTGGAGCCATGGAGTCATGTGCATATGGATCATGCATACATTAATGGAGTGGGACTCTTATTAATATTAGTAGATTCCTTTTCAGGTTGGCCTGAATTAATCTGGATTACAAACAAGAAAAGTTCTACTATAAAGCAGATTCTAAGAGTCATAAACCTTGGTATCTGATAATGCACCAGAATTTTGTATTGAAGAACTTAACGTATGGTTAGAAAAAATAGGCTGTAAACCATATAAGACACCTCCATATCACCCTCAATCAAACGGATTAGCAGAAAGAATGGTACAGACCATAAAAAAGGGGCTAAAAGCATGCTCTCAGCAAAAAGAAAAAGTAGAAGTTTTTCTACCTAGGCTGCTTTTAAGCTATCATACGATACCACATGCGGGAAGACGAGAAAGCCCATCAGCTTTAATGGGAAGACAGATTAGAGCTCCGTTAACGATGTCATATTCCACAAATGAAAAAATGTGGTACAAAAAGAGCAAAGATGCAGATCCGGAAGGAGCCGAATTTATAATGCAAAAAGGCCACAATACAGCCATAATAAATAGAGAAAGTGGCGATAGTGTGCTAGCCCATGCAGACCAAATAAGGACCCAGGGTGAAGAGGAAGAACAAAACGATGAAGAAATGTCTTCAATTCCATCTGATAACGAGTTAGTAGAACAACCATTACAGAAGGAAACGTCAGAAGAGGAAACAATGCAGGATGAAGAGGGCCAGAAGGAGTCTGAAAGTTCGGACGAAGACCAGATTATGCAAGAAAACACATATGACTACAGCCTAGCCTGGGACAGATCGAGGTCTCCCAGGGAAAGAAATATGGGAGAGAGAGAAATAGAGCAGAGTGATGAAAATAGCAGGAGAAGGAATACAAGATCTACGAGAGGAATAAAACCCTTAAGGTTCAGGGAGATGTAGTGATACTAGCAAATTAGTATGCATAATTTGCATAAGCATAAGTGAACACTCATATAAGTGGTCACTGTGGATAACGAGGTAGAGGTACGAGATTAGCGGCTGATTAGTGCTAACTTCAACCTCACAACACATGTGTTATTATGAGTACAGAACCAAAAGAAAATAATATGTTTTTTTTTTCTTGGATGAAAGGATAGATTGAGTGTATTATTTAAACATTTTTAGTGAAGAAAATAAACTCTTAAAGAAAGAGAGTAAGAGTACTGATACCTTTTGTAATTTTGAAGAGCATATTTATTATTCCAAGATTTATTAAAACTATTAAGTTTATTTTAGTGTTAGTGTCATGACATTTTAACCACTCCATTTTCTTCCTTTCATCATTTTTATAAATATACCTTTTGTAATTTTGATATAAGCCATTATCACAATAAGCACTGTTCAGACTATTGATCACATTCTTTTCTGTGTTAACACAATGTTTGAGTGATCTATTCTACAGCCTTCTTTAAATGTTAACATGATTTTTTTTACTTTTAAGTAAATATTAAGAACCAAAAAAGTTTGCTCTTAAATATAAGAATTAATTATTTGTTTTTTCTTCTTCCAGGTATCAATTATTATGTTAGCAGCCGAGAGTATCGGTATGGGCAATCTGACTGCGTTCAGATCTATGAGAACATTACGTGCCCTTCGACCCCTGAGAGCAGTGTCTCGATGGGAAGGAATGAGAGTAAGTATTACAAATTAAAGACATAAACAAATGAGAATAAGTATTAGAGACTAAACAAGACCGATGCATTGTGATTATATTCAAACATAAAAAATTTAAAAAAGAAAAATATCTTGAAATTGAAAATAGAGACCCTCCCCAACCAAAAAAAACAGTCTTTAAGAGAGACATGAACATGTGTTAGAACTATTTCATAACATCACATGGGGAAAAAAGGATTATTTATACAAAAGAATGTTGAAAAGTTCACAGCCTAACTAAAAACTTTTTCCAAAACAAATTCTGTTTGGTCATTTAGTCAGATTTGGGGTAAGAGGTCAGGCCTAGAACTTTTACCATCCTTTCATATATACACAGAGACAATTTGGTAAATGTATATATAAAGATGATTTGGACATGTTATGAGATGGCCAAAAAGTAAGTATCTAGTTTATTACTTATAATCATAAAGAGAATTTAGGTTAAATTAAACAAAAATTAATGGCCATAAAAAAATGAACTCAGATAAAAATGACACATGGAATGAAAGGAAAATAGCATGATAAATTTCTCAGTGAAAAACTCATTAATTATTTAAACACTAAAATATCAGATAATTGTAATATTTTATTGTACTTTTTGCAAATTACTTAGTAATAAACAAAATTATTTTTTAAAGATTTTTTAAAATTTTGTAGAAATATTTTTTAGTCTGTCATTGAATTAAAATATGGTGGCACATGCAAACATACATACTCAGACTAATGAAATTGAAATGAACATGCGTCACAAGGGCTAACCTTTGGATAACAGGAAAAGAGTGGGGAGCACTTTGAAGACACTTTTATGACTGCTTTTATATTTAAACTTAATATTTCCTAATAAATGTAGTATTTTAAATAAACAAACAATTTAGATTTGAAATTTGATCATTTTACTGTCAGGGAAGCAGCAGTACCTTATAATTTATAACCCTTATGAAAATTTCTCTCTCAGGTAACCTGCTTCTTATTAAAAAATACCAGAATTTCTTAGATGAAGTGCCGTACTGAATTTTTAACATTTTCTGCTTTTTATGTTATTTTTGCTTCTTATCACTAGTATCAGTTATAACATTAATTACATTTTGCATAAAAATAAGAAATAAATAAATAGAATAAAAAATAAAATAAGATAATAAAATTTTGCCTGTCCCTTAAGATATATGATAATTTGATTTTATTTATGAAAATTAAGGATAATAATAATAGTGGTAAAAAGCAATAAAAAACAAAATGAAAGGGAAATGAAAAAATAAAACATTATATATTTGAATTTAGGAGTTCTGCATCTCAGATATAATGAAAAAATTATAATTATCTTTTTGATGTTATAATTAATTAAACTAATTTAATTGAAGTGGCATTTATATAAATTGGCTTTCCAACCAATGTTTTTGGGGGGATGGGAAGCAGTCTGAAATTTTTGTGGTTTTTTCATTGAATTGAAAACTCATTTTTTATTCTTTGTTGCTCGTGATAAATATTTCTACATTAAAATAACTTGCAATTCATTCCCATATTGAAATAATTTACAATCCATTCCCATAATAAAATCAGTTACAATCCATTTCTACAGTATAAATCATGCGCAATGCATTTATATTATGCACATCATAGCCCTTTTCTGTCAGTAATGCCTACATCAATTCTTGACCATTGACAACCCCTTTTTACTGATTTTCAATGCATTTTTATTTTAAAATTTTTAGCAATGCATTTACATGATATATGTAGATGGTACACAGTAATAATGGCATAGGTAAAAATGGCACAAGTGGAAAAATAGGAAAAAATAGCACAATGGTCAGGAGCAGCAGTAGTAGGTTATTGCTATAAATCTGGTTAGGTTGATTTTCTGTTTCTAATGCTTTTCTCATGTTGCAATAGCTGCATAATCAGGAACACGGCTGTGGTTTTTAGCTGGTACAGGATCAGTCATATCAAGGCTGGGTCATGATCTCTCAACAGTATATAATCACATCGATAGAGACTTCTTTATCTCATGCCCTTATCATAAACCTCCCTTCCTTTCCATTTTTGAAGTCAGTTTCTTATAGATAACTTACTGCTTTGATCAGATAGAGGAACTGTATCAATCAACAAAATCATATATATCTAGTGAAAACCTCAAAACCAACTTATTTCAAACCTTATCCGGAGTATGAGGAAATAAACTTCAATCTGTTAAATATTTCTTAGACTATGCTTCACACATTTATAAACACAGATGTGAAGAAATGAGTCATTTAATGAGACATGTAAATATACCATACTACATCCCAAGCAAATCTACTGATAGAAAACAGTAATCTTGTTTTCTATCTAGATACCAACAATGACAGGATATGATGATGACATAGGTGTTCATAGTTGGCGTAAGAATGATCAGCATTCTATTCCAAATGTGTTCCAAGAATTAGGATTCTATGTCAACCTTTCCAAAATAGAAACCATAATCTGGACTTAGAATGAGAGTAATGATGACACCTACCCTGAAGCTATCATAAAAATTCAGAATATTGAATTGATAAGTTCTAAAGGCTTTAAATATCTCAGTGTCTGGATCACTTATAACAAATTTAGCATTGGAGATAAGGAAATTAAACACATGATAAATTACACTGGGATTAATTTTGTCCAGTACTGCAGCATGCTACAAAACCAAAATACTAACCTGAAAAAAGTCATGTTCTTAAATAGTCCCATCAGATCAAGACTTTCATATGGATGCCATGCATAGAATATATCATTTGTATACAACCATTTTCTCAGATCAATGATAAAAATGGTTTTGAACCTGTAGGCTGGTACCACAAAATCAGAAATAAAGAATTTTGCCAAATACTAAAAAGCACATCACTTGAACAATTCCAACAGCAGCAAAAACAAAAATAGGCATCACATTTAACTAGAAGAGAAAATAATGATATAATCAAACTGTTAACTTTCCACACTACCTAAAACAAAAAGTTTAGAAGGAAACTCCCATCAATATTAGAAAGTGCTATAAAATTTAATGCTCTTGAGAAGTCTAATTTTCCAAAAACTGTTTTAATAAAAAAAGATTTTATAAACATTAATTAACAATAACACTGTTTTGTCAATGAATGTTGAATTTTTCCTGAATTGAAATAGTTAATTTTACCATTATCATTACCATTTGGAGTAATGGTCTGTAAAAAATTAAATAAATGCTTCAGTAAAAATATTTTATTAAATGTCTATCCCTGGGATATGTTATGCATTGTGGATTTATTTTAGTCTGGTATTTATAAAAAATGAAATTCTTATAACTTATTTCTATAAAATATTGTCATTTACAACAATGGAATTCTCTCTGTTTCAGGTGGTAGTAAATGCTTTAATAAAAGCAGTACCCTCCATCTTTAACGTGCTCTTGGTCTGCTTGGTCTTCTGGCTAATCTTCAGTATTATGGGCGTGCAATTATTTAATGGCAAGTTCCATAAGTGTGTGTATAAAGAAAACGGTTCCGTAGTACCATCTACTGAGGTTGATAACAGAACTGAATGTGAAGAAAACAGTGCTATATATGAATGGAAAAATTCACCAATTAATTTCGACAACGTATTAAATGGATACCTGGCCCTATTTCAAGTGGTTAGTATATTTTTTATTGCTTGCTTCTATGCTGCTCTTTTTTTTTCTCATTAAAACTGACAAAAGACAAGGGTAGTCCAAAAGATTCATTCTATATTAATAAATCTCAAAGATGCTGACAAAAAGAATTTGTATCAAACAAGATTATTATTGACTACAAAGAAATCATTTCACTTTATTGAAATATTTTATGGTAGTTAAAGGGAAAATTTTAGCTGAAAAATTTTCATCTTTGCATATCATAAATAGGAATATGTAATTTTTTCTTATTTTGTTGAAAATTACATTCTTTATACTATCAAATATAAAACATAAAATGTATTGAAATAAATATTGAAATAATCTATGCTAGTAAAGGCTAAATATTAACTTAAAGACCTCACATATGGAAAAGGTAATTTTTTCAGTCAACTTGTTAGAAAAAAATGTATATATTAAGAAATAATTAAATATTAAAACAACCCATAAAGAAAAGCACTGTGGGAAAATTAACAATAAAGATAATCTGAAAAATCTTTATACCATATTTCCTACCATGTAATATATATCAGGGTTTATCAGATACACAGAATTTAGCAAGAAATATTTAGGAAAAACTAATAATAAAATTATTAATATACATCTGATGATTCATCCACATTTATATATAAGATTTTTATATTTGACCATTGTTTTTATTTGTAATTATAATTAATCATAGCCATATATACTTCACATACTGTGATCATCAGTGAACTAGTGTCAAACTGGGTTTTTAGTTTAATACCACTTATCAGTAATTTAACCATTGAGGTATAAGATGCAAGGTAATTTTTCAAAGTGTATTTTAGAAAAAATTACACCTTATATGGTGGGAAATTTTTTAGTTCTAAAATTTAATGTGCAGTATTTCTTTCAAAAAAATAATATTAAAAAAAAAGTAAATGCAGCAAATCTTTTGATTTTCAAACAAAATATGAAAAACAAAAACTTTTCTTATGACTATTTAAAAAATGTTTTCTTATGACTATTTAATAACTATCAAATACAATCAGTGAATTTTCATGTTGGCAATCTCTCTCTCTCTCTCTCTCTCTCTCTCTCTCTCTCTCTCTCTCTCTCAATGTGCCATACCCTTTCAGCACAAAGATCATCATGATTCTTCACAGCTTCCTTTATTTTGTTATTCTTTGAGCAATACAAGCTTCTTTTCTAACCCTGTTTGTCTTTATGGTACTTGTTCCTCCATTCATTTGCTCAAAATTATCAATTAGGTTACTTGCTACTTTTCACTGCTTCTCTTGCTTTCAGTGTGAATATTAAATTCACCAAACCATCTGTTGAATTTTGTGACATGATTGCAAAATAAATGAAACACCAGTCTTATAAAAAGTAGTATCCACACTTTTGTCAGCAGCATTATTCACATCAGTAACATGACAACTGAAACACATGTACAGTATAGTTAAATCCTAGATATATATGCATATTGTAGAGAGCCGCACCTTATATTCAAATTTGCATAGATGTTAGTGTAGTGATATGTAAATTAGGTACTGTATAAAAGGCATTATTGCCATACCTATGAGAGAGTTATCTCCTTTTGACATGTTTACACCTATCAGAGTGAATACCTATGATAACGATATGTCATTGGCAGTCAGTTACTTAGCCATGATGGAGAATCCTGAATATGTGGAAATCTTGCTTAGGTGTTTTGCAGTGTCATTGAGAGTTAAAAAGTTAAAAGGCACCAAAGTTAGTGGAGGAGAAAATGAAGTTACAGATTTGTTTTTGGCTTCAGCAGGGTGTGAGGCCACAAAAAAAAATCTCTGTCATGGTCTATCCCAAACTGTTGGAAGATTTAGAGTATGAAAAAATTGCTGCCATCATTAAAGCAAATGTACAACTGAAAAAAGATTGGTCATAGTGGAAAGAACTAAATTTCTCGAAATTAGACAGAGACCAGACAAAACTATTATGCAATATGTACAGTGATTGAAAGAAGTATTGAGATATTGTCAGTTTGAAAGAATGGGTTCAGAACAAATATCTATCAAAGACAGCCAATTTGCCATAACAATGATTATTTGACATCTCATACAAGCATAAAATTCTAGAGTAGCTACAAGTTCATAATATGAATTTAATGAAAAATTTTAATGCCTCTGAAGGCAGCATGGAGACTTAGAGTGCTGATAAAAGCTTACTTACATGCAGATATTGCAATAAAGAACATGAAAAAAGCAAAAATAAGTGTTTGGCCTTTGGGAAATGGTGTTTTAAGTGTAAAAAGATGAATCATTTCCAGACAGTATACACATATGAAAAGTGAGTGGAAAAATTGGAAAATATAGATCCTCCAATTGAAAATACAGAAGTATTTGAGATAAAAGCACAGGATAAATGTAGGGAAATGGTGAAGTTGAACAAACTTTACTCATGCAGGTGGATACTTGAAATGATGTTATGTTGATACAGATGAATTTTTTGGAAAGAATTGGTATACCAAATTTAAAGAAAAGTAATCTCCAGTTGAAACAATTCAATGGGTCAATCATCAAAATTTTATGATGCTTTGAAGGCACATTTGAAACAAAAAATAGATTCAAGATAATACCCATCATAGTGATGGAAAACATCAAAAACCACAGTCTTCTAGGAACTGACATAATAGGAGTGAATACATTGAAGCTGGTAAATTCCATGAAGTTGGTAGAACCAGATATTGGATTATTAAGGGGATATGAAGTGAGTATTCAGCTTAAAGAAAGCAGTTAAACCATATATTTTCAAGCCAGAAAAGTTTCTGTTCACATGCTATCTTTGGTAGTTGCTAAACTGAACAAAATGGTGGAACAAGGAATATTAGAAAAAGTCAGCCAGGGTGGTAGCAATTAGACTTCACCCACTGTGGCAATACGCAAGCCCAATGGAGATTTATGAATTTGTGGTGACTATAAGGTGAGCATGAATCACCAGATCTGTTTGGATTCATTCCTGTTGCCAAACATTGAAAGAGCATGCCATGAGTTTGCTGGTATGAAATACTTTACTAAAGTTGACCTTAAATCAGCATATAATCAAATAAAAATTGATAGCAAGTTTCAAGATGTCACTACAATGAACACCCCTATTGGATTACTAAGATGGACTCATTTGCTATTCAGAGCAAAAATGTCAAGTTATATATTCTAAAAAGCCATTGAAAAAGTTTTAGAGAGGATTAAAAAATATAACTGTGTATCAGGATGACATTGGCATTAGTGCATGCAGTAAAGAAGAGCTCAAAACTAAAATGGAGCAAATTAAATAATGTGGATATGACAATTAATCATGATAAATGTGAGTTTATTTGTGAAAAAATTTCATACCTAGAATATTAAATATCCAAAGACAGTATATCACCAGATGATAAACTTATTAATAAGATATCAGAGATAGCTACACCCAGAAATAAAAAAGAGTTAGAGTTCTTTTTAGGATTAACCCATTTCTATAACAGATATTCTACCATGATATGGTGACCTTGTGGAGCCATTTAAATAAACAAGGCAGAAGAATACCAAGTTTCAATGGGCAAAAAGAGAGAAATTAAAAAGGCACTCATAAAAAACAGTTATTAAAATTTCAATCCAGCAAAAGAATTGACATTAACTATGGATGCCAGTGACTGTGCTATAGCCGCATTATTGTCACAGGAGGATCACCCTGTAATCTACTGTTGAGATGTTGAGTGTTTCTGCGTGCATGTATTGAAATAAGGACAAACACATACATAGGGAAAAATACTGGTATATCTGAAGAGGTATTTACAAACAGAGAGATTAGTAGTCAAACGAATGCAGGTTAGTCAGTAACAATCAGAAAGAGTATAAAGTCCAACTGTATCTTCCGGTAGAGAGACAGAAGTGTGATGGTCACCTGATCTTCCCAGAATTCTATAGAACTGTCCTATTAGTAGTAGAGAGATAAGTCCATTCTGATGAGAAGGTGGGTGGCCCCAACATCTACTTATCTAGAAAACTAACCTTGGCCAAGGCAAATTATTCAAATATTGAGAAGGAGGCATTGGTGATTGTGTGGATCACAGAAAGAGCTAGAAATTTTTTGTTGGGAAGGAAATTTCTATTTATATCTGATCATAAGCCTTTGGAATTTATATTCAACCCCAGAAGAGAGTTGCCAGGGGTCACATCTGCCAGGATATTAAAATGGGTGATTAAGCTTATGGTGTTCAACTTTGACATTGTATATATTAAAAGAAATACTATTACACATGGGATGCATTATCTCAGTTAAATGTTGAAGCAAGTGAAAATTGTGAGGATAGGATTTTGCACTGGATAGAAATGGATGTATTACACTTAAATCAGCTTAGGTGGGGAACTAGGCAGGATCTAGTGTTGAATAGAAGGAGAGAATAAAGAGAAATAATGGAGTAATTGCTCTATATCTGAAAGAACTTATAAAGAGTCAAGACACAAATTAAATGAATTATATGTAATGGAGATATCATAGTATCTCCACAGTCTCTGAGAAAAGAAATAATTAAAGCCATGCATGATGATATACATGGAAGTATATTGGCTACACAAATGTGGTTAAAGTTGCAAGTATGGTGGCCAGGCTATTCAAGAGACATGGAAAAGTATGTTAAAAAATGCCCAAAATGTGCAGAAATAAAGAAATTTTGACAAACTAAAATTCACTCTTGACCAAAGGAAATGAAACTGTGGACACAAGTTCATATGAATCATGCCTGCATTAAAGGTATAGGACTATTTCTGATATTAGTCAACATGTATACAGGTTGTCTGAAGTTATTAAAGTCGCTGATAAAAAGCAATTACTGTGAAGTGGGTGTTGAGGATAGTGTTTTTGAGAAATGAAGTTCCAAAAACCTTGGTCTAGAACAATTCACCTGAGTTTTGTGAAGAAAGTTTATGTACATAGTTAAAATGTATTGGCTATATTCCATACAAAATACCACCTTACCACTCACAGTCAAATAGAATTGT